CCCAATTTTGTGCTTCTTACCCTGTTGATCTTTCCATCGCCCGGAACGTCAAGACTATCAGAGACGCCGACTTTGTTGTCATCGATATCAACGGGAACATCATATTCAAGGTGAAGGGATCTGCTTACAGTAATCGGGTCTTGCTCGATGCCGTCGGAAATCCTATTGTTACACTAAAACAAAAGGTTAGCCAATTCGTTACATCTTATTATGACAATTGTGTTTTTTTGTTATTTATTTATTTATTTATTTTTTGTGTCTTGATGTTTAACCAGGGTACATTAAGATTAATTTTTTTTTCTAAAAGATTGTTATAGGAAACAATTATAGTTGTTTTTGTGATTGTAATCGGTTTGAATATTCTTGTATTTGGATAAATAAAAATTTTTGTTGTCTAAAAAAAATTACTTCTTATAACCACAGTGCATTTCAAAACTGGAACAAAAAAATTAAAATTTCTATTTTTAATACTTGTATTGAGCTAATTTAATTAATTTGACACTGATATAGACCTCTCCTACTCAATATTTTTTACAACATAATTATTCAAAAATTATTTTTTATTTTAAAATTAAAAATATAAAAATTTAAAAATATAATTATACATATAACATTAAAAAACTAACTATATCTATATTATATTTTGATAATTAAATTAGTTCAATATCGGGCGCATGTGTTAATTTAGAGGATATTCAAAACATTTTCCTAATTAATTTCATTGTTTTGGGGCAGTTAATGAGCGCACATGATAGATGGCAAGTTTTCAGAGGAGAAAGCACAGATTCGAGTGATTTGATATTTAGAGTGAAACGATCTTCAATGTTTCAATGGAAGACGAAACTAGATGTCTTTCTTGCAAATAACACAGACGAGAAGGTTTGTGATTTCAAGGTCCAAGGAAGTTGCTCGGAGAGATCCTGCGTGGTTTACGCCGGAGAGTCATCCTCCATTGTTGCACAGGTAAGAACAATTTCTTGACCACCCTCTAAGAAACCCTGTATGATAAATGAAACTAATTTCTTAGATTCACGTTTGCAGATGCACAAGAACAAGAAGACTACTGTTCAAAGCGTATTGATCGGAAAGGACAACTTCATGGTGACTGTGTATCCAAACGTTGATTATGGATTCATTGTAACTCTTATTATCATTCTAACTGCAATCAATGAGGCCGCCCAGCAAGCCGCTGACATAGGCGCGGCTGTGGGCGGGGCTGCGGGTGCTGCTGTAGCCTCTGCTTTTTGAAATTTTCTTCTAATTAATTCTAGTTACGTTTTGGCTAGAGTGATGGAAATTTAAATTTGTTGATATTAAGAAACAAATAAAGGATTTAAAATGTGTGACCGTGAAGCACTTCAGATGGCATGGAGGATTATTTGATGTATACTTGAGCAACATTCTGATAAAATAAACGATTTCTATACAAAATGATTAATATACAAGTGCATTCAATAAAGAAAATATATAACTTTTTTAAGTACGTTACAAAACTAAGAAAAATTTAATGAAAACCCATCGTTTTGATAGTCCAAATAAAACCTTACTCTTTAGATCTTTAATCAATCAAATGAAGGCTTATTCACACATAAATAAAAGATTTCAAGCTAAGGCTTCATCCTTAATTTAAATCATTAATTAATTGATTGGAGGCCTCATTGACGCAAATGAAAGATTTGGACACTCCGAATTCAAATGGATGTACTTATGTTGGATATTTAATCCAGAGTATATGTATATAGGGTATAGCCTTGCTGTGTGAGGCCTGGATTGGGCTGAGCCTTTGTCTGGAGAAATTTAGTGGGGCGTGAGCTAGCATATTGGGTTTGGATGTAGTTAGGGCCGTTAGGCAGTAGTTCCTCTCTCTCTTCTTTTTTCTTTCATTTTTTTTTTTTCTCTTTTTGTGTGAATAGTTAGGCAGTAGTTTGGATGCCTTCTATTTTGGCTTGATGGTCTGTGTCTGAAAAGCAGAATCCTAGGCAGTGGTAGGTGCCAAACTGCCCATGAACTGGGCCACGCCCATGCATGTCCCTATCCAGAATTGAAGAGGAAAGTTTCAACAAAGAAGCTTTATTGCTTTTGCAATATGCAGTGAATGGAGAATGATTGTATTTCCATTGATGCGAGGTGAGGTTGCATTAGGATTCAGGAATGCTAGGGATAAGAGTTGAGTTGTTTATGTACTAAATGCTATCAACTCCCTCACACATACACCAAAGAAAGAGAAATGTAAATGTCACTCAGCCTATAAACCAGAAATTGCCAATTTGAAACTCCAAGATTAATTAATTTGTT